GTACAGATTTCAATAAAAAAAATCACTCATCACAAAGAACCAGGAAAATTTCAACTGAGAAAACACAGATCAATATATATAAACGGCTCCCTGAGAAAACACAGATCAATATATATAAACGGCTAATATGCATAGTGTCCCTCGGGAGTTTAACTGGGAGACCAGGAGTTCAATTGCTTGCTATGATGTGTGCTGACCACCAAGGGTGGCGCGGAACGAAGGAAGGCCCCAGCTGGCAGCTGGCAGTCCCTGATCGGCCCTGATGTCTGGCAAGGCATAGGCACCCTACCTATGCATGAATTTCATGCACTGGGCCTCTAGTGTTAGCATAATTTGACAAAGTTTTGAAGCAGCCATCACAGAAAGGCTTCAATGACTAATTATAGAGCTGCTTGAAACAAATGAAAAAATTATCCCAGCAGAGCAATAGAAGTTATAAAGAAGAACCAAATAGAAATCTTAGAACTGGAAAACATAATAACTGAAACTTTTGAAAAATGCAATGGGAAATGGGATGACAGAAGAAAGAAATCAGTGAGCTTGAAAAAGAACAGAATTACTCAGTCTGAATAGCAGAAAGAAAATAGATTAAAAAAAGAGAACAGTTTAGGGACACATGGGACTATAACAAAAGATCTAACATTTATGTTATTTAATACTGGAAGGAGAGGAGAAAGAGGGCAGAGCTGGAAAAAAAAACACCTCAAAGAAAAAGCAGCTGTAAAATAGAAATAATAGCTGAAATTTCCCCAAATTAGATGAAAGACATAAACCTGCAGCTTCAAGAAGTTTAACAAACTCCAAAAGTATAAACACAAAGCAATCTATGCCAAGACACATCATACTCAAAACTTCTTAAAACTAAAGGCAAGGAAATGAAAGCATTCGGAGATAAATGACATTGCTTTTAGGGAAAAGCAATATAAATGACAGTGGATTTCTCATCAGAATACATGTAGGCCAGAAAGAGAAAAATTGCCAGCCTAGAATTTTATATCCAATGAAACTTTCTTTTCTTTTCTTCTTCTTCTTCTTTTTTTTTTTTTTTTGGTAAAAAATTTATTGACTGCAGCAAAAATATACTTAGGACAGTGAAATAAGGAAGGGAACAGAAGAAGCAACAGGAGGGTCTAGGCTGGGATGCTTTGGCTCACTAGGAACAGGGCATTGGAGACAGGTTCGGGGGTTAGCCCGAGACAAGCTGCCATTGCCCATTGCTCTCTTGGTTGCACATTTCGTGGGATCCCCTGGAGTTTAGGAAATATGTGCTTTCAAGAAACAACCTCCAGAAAGCACAAGACATTCATCAGCTCCAAATCCACTTTACAGACTTTGATTGGTGCAATCCGAGTCGCAGCACCAAAGAGATGTTACTGGTGAGACAGGGAGACCTCAGTTCTTGTCTTCTTGAGGGAAAGATTTCAATCGAGACAGAGTGTGAAAAATACAAGTATTTATTGACCACAGGAAAAAAAATAGACTTAGGAAAGAGAAATAAGGAAGGGCATATGAGAAGCAACTGGAGAGCCTCGGCTGTTCTCCTTTGGTTCACTGGGAAGTCAGGAAAAGGGCGTTGGAACAGGTTCAGGGGGTTAGCCTGGGACAAGCTGCTGCTGCCCATTGCTCCCCTGGTTGCAAGTCTCATGGGGTCCCCTTAGAGGCTAGGGGAGATGTGCCTGTGGGGGAAGGAGAGGGAGAAGGGGATCGCATGGGCGTGCTCCCTGGAGAGTGCCCAGTGAAACTTTCTTCATGACATTCTCAGATGAAGGGAAAGGAAGGGAATTTATCATTAGAATCTCCTAAAATAATGTTTAAAGGAATTTCTTGAAACAGAAATGAAATGATAAAAGATGGAATCTAAAAAAAAAAAAAAAAGATGGAATCTTGAAACATCAGGAAGGAATGGGGGGAGCCTCATGTGCCCAGACTGGAGACCCGGGATTGAACCTGCATGTCCTTGACTGAGAATCCAACCTGAAACCCTTCGGTGTGCAGGCCAACGCTCTAACCATTGGAAAACACCAGCCAGGGCAAGCTATTTTTTTTAACATCTATTAACTTCCCGTTATAGATTAGGATTTAGCTATCATTCACTTTCCCCATCACCAATAACACAAGGCTTATTTATATTTTCCCACTGTAGTTAGATTAATAGTCTTTTTTTAGTAGGATGGTAAAAACACTGTATTTAAGATATGATTGCATTTCCACTCTTCTACAACTTTTTGTTTTCTCCAGAATTAATAATTGTCTTGTATTGTTCACTTGCTTAGTTTTCTGTATATCTGTGATTAATAGATATATCTATACTAGTGACTGGTGCACTAAATTCGTGCACATTAAAAGGGAATTAATTAGAGGAAATATTTTAATATTGTTATTTGCCCTTTCTCTATAATAGAAGTGTTGGAGATGAAAGAAAATTAGTAAAATGTATATAAAAATCTTCCTCCTGTCAAAGTCTGGGGCGCGCCACAGGAACCCAAGTCAAGTCCCCGTCCACCCAAGTGTGCCTCAAAATCGTGTGAGACCCAGACCTGGCAAGCCCACCCCCACTGGGCTAGATCCAGACCCGGCCGGCTCCACCCCCGTCAAGCCCCACCGGGCGGGGGACATGGCCTCATGTCTCCTGGCCCGGCGCTGGGGTGGGAGGGCCCTGTCAAGCCCTGCTGGGCAGGGGGCACAGCCTTAGGTCCCCGGCCCGGGGTGGGATGCGCAGCCTGAGGTCCCCCAGGCGGGTGGCGCACCTTAAGGTTTCCCGTCAAGCCCTATGGGTGAGGGGCATGGCCTCAGTTCCCCCATCAAGCCTGGCATGGTGGGTGGTGCAGCCTCAGGTTCCCAGGCCTGGTGGGCGTGGCCTCAGGTCCTCTGGCCCGGCGCTGGGGCGGGGGTATGGCCTGAGGTCCCCTGTCAAGCCCTGCTAGGCAGGGGGCACAGCCTTAGGTCCCCGGCCCGGGGTGGGATGCGCAGCCTGAGGTCCCCCAGGCGGGTGGCGCACCTTAAGGTGTCCCGTCAAGCCCTATGGGTGAGGGGCATGGCCTCAGTTCCCCCATCAAGCCTGGCATGGTGGGTGGTGCAGCCTCAGGTTCCCAGGCCTGGTGGGCGTGGCCTCAGGTCCTCTGGCCCGGCGCTGGGGCGGGGGTATGGCCTGAGGTCCCCCGTCAAGCCCTGCCAGGCGGGGGGTGTGGCCTGAGGTCCCCTTCAAGCCCCACCCGGTGGGGGGCACAGCCTCAGGTCCCCCAGCCCGGGGCAGGGTGTGTGGCCTGAGGTCCCCCAGGCGGGGGGTGCGCCTTGAGGTTCCCTGTCAAGCCCTGCGGGCAGGGGGCATGGCCTCAGGTCCCCATCAAGCCTGGCATGGTGGGGTGCGCAGCCTCAGGTCCCCCGGCCTGGCAGGGGGAGCGGCCTCAGGCCCTCCAACCCGGCGCTGGGAGCAGGGGGGTACGGCCTGAGGTCCCCCATCAAGCTCCGCTGGTGGGGGGACGCAGCCTGAGGTCCCCAGTTAAGCCCTGCCAGGTGGGGGACATGGCTTGAGGTCTCCGTCAAGCCCTGCCAGGCAGGGGACGCAGCATAAGGTCCCCTGTCAAGCCCTGCCAGGCGGGGGGTGCAGCCTCAGGTCCCCTGCCCCGGCCCAGTGCCATGCAGCCTCAGGTCCCTGTTGATTGATCGTTAAGGCTCATTACAGGAACTCAGCCTCCACTGTGGGTGCAGTCATCTTGTGTTATGGAATCCCTGCCTCTGCTGTGGGTGCAGCCATCTTGACAGTTACAACATGACAGTCAATTTGCATATTCGCCTTTATTAGATAAAATATCCCTGAATTGTAAATATCTTTCTGTTCATTTGGAATTTCAGTTTTCCCATTATCCTAATTTAAAGAGGGGGTAAGCATAGGTTAAATTTTAGGGTCTTTCTTAATGTTAGAAACTCCTTGTAAAACCAGAGTGAATATAAATGATCTTTGTTACTTTTTTTATTTACACACAAACCCTGTCTAGATGAATGGATATTTTTTTATTTCAGCTCATAGCAAAGGAAATCTATAGATATTTGTGAACATCTGTATTTTGATAGCTGAGAAAATTCATAGATATTTATGATCTCATCAATCCCAAACATTGGTCCCACAGGGAAGTGGGGAGAGCTGTTGAATACAGGCAAAAACACTAGTTCTGACTAGTTGCTTAATTGATCTTCACAATCTAGGATGATCAGGTGACTTCATTCCCTCAGTTTTCTTTGTAATAATGACAGGATCAGACTGGATAATAAAGGTGGCTTCTAGTTCAAGTGTCATTTCAAGTAGATAAATAATTTACTTTAATCTTGACAATATATCCAAATTAAAGGTGTTGTTATCTTCAGAACTTTTAAAGAAGTATCCTGGTATTTAGAGTGAAATTGTGTCAAAAGGCCTAAAGTAATTTCTAAAAGTTATTAGAGATGGCAAATTATAAAAGATAACAATAGGCCATGCTTGTCATCTTTGTTGTACTTTAAATTATGATATGGAAATTATGGTTTTAATTTCCCAAGGGTACCTGAAAAAGGAAAATTCTAAGGTCATCAGAAACTTCACTGTTTACTATCTAATAGGTTAGATTTGACACATATAATATGCTCTGAAATAATGAGTGTGACTTTTATGATGGTTTTAAATTCTACACTATTGAAGCTAGTTGGGTCCTTGAGGGTTTCTGAGAGAGTTCTTGATGGTCAATCACTTTCTTATTGATGTAACCAGGGGCAGAATGTACTGTTTTTTTTTTATTTGTGTTTTATTTGATTGTGAATTTTGATATGAGAGATATTTGATATTTGGGATATTAGTTTTCAGAGGGCATTATGGTGAGTTACATACATTTTGAAAATGAATTTATAAGTTCACCTTTGTGCATTTGATGGTACTAATAATGTGCCTTATTGTGAGAGCCTATGAAAAGCAAGTATATTATTTAAGTTCTTAACAAACATCACTGATAACATATGTCATTGGTTTTCAGGTACTTGAAGAAGCAGAAGCCCAACATTTATATCAGTCCATTTTGCCCGATATGGTGAAAATTGCACTCTGTCTGCCAAATATTTGCACCCAGGTTAGTGGAAATAACGTCTTTCCTAGTAGCTTTCTTGTGACTCACAATTAAACTCTAATGGCCAAAGTCAAAGAGGCAAAAGAGAAAGATGGGAAATAGTTTTTGCCAAAGAGTATGATGCTTTTGCTAGAAAAGGTTAGAGGCTAAGGAGAATGCTACAAAAGGACATTAAAAATGCAGCATTCAATTTCTGAGCTTCAGTTTACACTGTTGAAGTTTGCTTACTCATACTTCTATTTATCTTTTTCTTTAAATTGTCTCTAACTTAAAAAAACAACAACCCAGTAGTTATTATTTCAAAACATACTAATGGATTTAGAACATTTTATCTTCCAAATGGCTTACTCCTCACTCATTTCTCCCCCACCCCAAAGTGGCATGTTGCATAACAAATGAGCCATGGTATTTTCTTAACTTTTAAAAATAGAAGAAATAATCTGGTAATATTCTATTTTGTCTGGAGTTTTTTACTAGTAATTGTTTATTGCTATGTAACAAATTGCTTTAAAATTTAATGCCTTATGGGGCTGACTATCCATAAGCTGATTGGGTGTCCCCATAACATGGTTGCTAACTTCCCCAGAATAAGCTACTCAAGGGAGAGTGCAAGGAAGTGTTAGTGCCTTTTATGACTTAGTTTTTTTAAAAGCACCTAATACCACTTCTGCTACTTTTCAATTCAGTAGAAATTAGTTGCTAAATCCAGCCCACACTCAAGGAGATGGCAATTAACCTCTACTTCTTTAAAGAAGGATTTGTCAAAGAATTTGCAAACATATTTTCAAACCTTCACAAGAGGTTGTTGGTTAGTCTTCATGATTTTCTCCCCATATTTCCCACAGCAGTGGTTTGTATTTGCCTTTGTCTTTTACTCCTAGGGCTAGTCCCCTTTCTGCCTGGATGCTGAACACTGTTGCTCCACAGAGGCCCTGGGGACATTTGGGGTGAAACAGTTTCTGAATGTGTAGGATGGTCGCACACATTTCATTCTGTTGTTGGGGTACCCCAAAAACTATAAGTATAGTCCTTGGGACACAAAATACAACAACCCAAAACACAAATATGTCCAGTTGCGTGTGGGCCATGCTGCCACCTTCAGTTGAGATCCATTGAATGTGCTGTATTTGTTAGCATTTCACTGTGATATTTCCAATTTTATGTAACTTTAATTTTACCTCATTAATGCATTGTGTCTAAAATAAGTTTTTCTATTGGGCAGGATAAATATATTGTAAAACTCATCTGGTTGTTTATATTGGAAGTTTTGGGCATACCTTGGAGATGTTACGTTTGGTTATAGACCACTTCAATAAAACAAATCCTGTATAATAAAAGGTTAATATGCAAAGCAACCTAACGGTGGAACAACCGGTTGCTATGACATGCATTGACCACCATGGGGCAGATGTTCAATGCAGGATCTGCCCCCTGGTGGTCATTGCGCTCTCACACGGGGGCGGGCTCCTCAGCCACAAGCTGGGCTGATGGCTGGCAAGCACAGCAGCAGAAGCCTCTCCTGCCTCCGTGGCAGCGCTATGGATTTCTGACAGACGGCTTAGGCCCGCTCCATTGGCTAAAACCATCTGTAAGCCATCTGTCGGAACATCCCCCGAGGGCTCCCAGACTGCTAAAGGGCCTCTAGTATCGTGATAAAGTGAGTATTACAATAAAGTGAGTCACATGAACTTTTTGGATTTCTAGTGCATATAAAAGTTATGTTTATACTATATTGTAGTCTATTAAATGTGCAATAGTAGTATGTCTAAGAAAATAATGTACATACCTTATTTATAAAATACTAAAAAGTGCTAACCATTATATGAATATGTCTATTGGAAAAATGGTGCCAATAGACTTGCTGGACACGGTTTCCACAAACCTTCAATTTATAAAAAACAAGTTATCTGTAAAGTTCAATAAACCAAAACTCAGTAAAACAAGGTATGGCTGTATTTGCTTGCTTATGTTTCATGATTACTCTTTTTTCTTTCCCTCCTTGCTTTTTTCCTTACCTAGTAAAATTTCACTACCTCTACGCTCTAGTTTTTACTTCCCCTGCGAAACCTTCTCTACCTCACCCAACCAAATCTAATCCCTCTGTAGCATGCAAATCATATTTAGCACATGCGTTTGTAATTTATGTTCTTCCATGGAGATGTTCTTGGTGTCCCCAAGTTTAACATGGTGCTTAATTAGATGTGGTTTTATTTTATTTATTTTTTATTGGTTTAATTTTTAAATTTTATTGTTTTTGTTAATTCTCACCCAAGGGCATTTTTTAAAATTGATTTTTAGAGAGAGTGGAAGGGAGGGAGGGAGGGAGGGAGGAGATAGAGAGAGAAACATTGATGAGAGAGAGACACATTAATTGGTTGCCTCCCGCATAGACCCCAACTGGGGCGGGGATCGAAGCAGCAATCCAAGTACGTGCCCTTGACCAGGAATCAAACCTGAGACCCTTCTGTGTGTTGGCCAGCACTCTAACCAACTAGTCATACCAGCCAGGACTATTTTTTGTTTTTTAATTACAGATTACATTCAGTATTATTTTGATTTAGTTTCTAGTGTACACCATTGCTGTTAGACAGTCATATACTTTACAAAGTGTTGCCCCCTCCCCTGATGTTTCCAGTACCACTTGGCCCCATACATAGTTATTACAGTATTATTGTCTATATTCCCTATGCTGTACTTTACATTACCGTGACTATTTTGTAACTACCAAGTTGTACTTGTTAATCCCTTCACCTTTTTCACCCAGTTCCCCAAACCTCCTCCCGATTGGCAACCATCAGTCTGTTCTCTGTATCTATGAGTCTGTTTTGTTTTGTTTGTTCTTTTATATTGTTCTTTAGATTCCACATAATTAAATGCTTTTTGAATTCAATGTTTAGTTCATAATTGACAGTATATAGCCTTTAGACATAAATCACTTAAACTTCTCTTCCCCTCATGTTTCAGGAGAGATCATTTTCATATTTTTATATGCCTTTGAATATATATATTTAAATACATATAAGCTATTACAAATCACTTGGTAGACCAAAACCAGACTTGTGGTTCCCAACTTTTTGTCCTGATTTAAAATAACTGTGTTAATGGGGAAACACTTCAATTCTGTGCCCTGTCTACTGAAATGTAAATCTCTGCGGTAAAAGTTAACATGTTAAGTTGCATATGTTGTTATTTATTATTTATATCACATTAACATTCTCTGGACCAAATCTAAATGGTACATTATATTTATAAAAAGAAAATTAAAAGAAACAAATTTTAGACCTGCACTTTGGGAAAGATCTTTATGTTAATCAGTCTCTTACTTAGCTGAGAGCTTGACAGTAAGATTTAAATCCTCTGGTTTTCCCCAAATGAGCTTTCAGGCATTTCTCCTCACCAAAAGAGCAGAAACCATCTATTCTATTTAAAATTATACTGTTTGGTTACTAGGAGAACAAGAAATGGTTGTGTTTGTTAAGCCTAAAATATTACCATTAATTTTTAAAATAGTATTTGTGAGTAACTTGTTAAATGGTAGTTAAAATCTCATTTTTTACTAAAAACAAGTACTAGTTTGCTTTAAACCATTGACACATTGTTACCTTTTCTAAACTTATTGCTGGATTGTAAATAAATGTATAGGCTGGGAAATGGAGATCAATATGCACTATTTCCTCTTTCTGAGATATAGTGATTGCTAAGGCCTAAAAGGAGAGAGAATTTTGGATACTGAAGTGAAAATAAATTCTTTATGTTTCTCTTGCTTGTTTATTTTTTGTGTTTTTTCTAAAGAAATAGTTGAGCTACAAGTTTAACCTTTCCTTTTTCTAGCAAACTCTTATTCTAGCAATGATAGGTATTTTCTGTAAAGTTAATTCTTATAGTATTGCAGTTTTGTCTTGCCTGCCTTTCCTCAGTATCATTTCTGATGTTTATTATGAGACGTGATAAATAGTTCTCCGTGCATACTGGTTTGTGGTTAATGCAGGCATCCAGGATTCTTAGTTCTGGCTCTGACTGAAAGGAGAAGAAAAAGCATCCCTGGAATATTTTGAAATTAACAATTGATACGTAAAAGAGATGTTGGCAATTGGTCTTTGGTTTTACCATTATGTCTTTAAACACATTGTTTAAATATTTAGAATAGAATAAAGCCTATTGGATACAATAATCAGGTCCCGTATATTATACTGGAATTAAAAGGTCAATAAATTTGAGTTTGGTACAACTAGAAGGCATTGCAGACATCAAAATTTTGAAGGTAAAATGTCCTGTTTCTTCCTTGATTTGGAATGATTAGATAAATGTCTATCTTCTTACAAGTTATATGGAAGTTTGTATACATATAGTCTATTAATTGCTATCATAAAATTAGATTTGAGTCTTATAAAGATTGCCAATGTGAAGTGTGATTCAGAATTAGAAGGAAAAGACTTATTTATTGAATTATTTTTTTTGATTATTTTATTTTGGACTAAAAGAGAAAAATTGCTTTGTCCAGCAATCTTTAATATAAATGAGAACAAAATTTTGCATCTGCATTAATAGTTAAAGTTAAAATTGCATTTTTCTGTTTCATTGTTTTTTAAAAATTTTTTTGTTAATCCTCACCCAAGGATATTCTGCCATTGTTTTTGTTTTTATTACTCATTTATTTTTTTAACATGTTTTTATTGATTTTTAGAGAGAGAGAGGAAGGGAGAGGGATAGAGAGATAGAAATATTGATGAGAGAGGAACATCATCAATTGGCTGCCTCCTGCACGTCCACTACTGGGAATCGAACCAGCAACCTGTTGGTTCCTGGGTCGAGGCTCAACTGCTGAGCCACACAAGCTGGACCATTAATTTTTAGAGAGTGGAACATTGATGTGAGAGTGACACATCAATTCGTTGCTTCCCACACATGTCCCGACCAGGGCTGGGATCCAGCCTGTAATTGAAGTACATTCTCTCAACTGTGCCCTTAACCAGAATCGACCTGGGACCCTTAAGTCCATGGGCCGATGCTCTATCCACTGAGCGAAACCAGCAAAGGCTGTTTTAATTTTTCTTTTTTATTAAATATTTATTGTTCAGATTATTACAGTTGTTCCTCTTTTTACCCCCATAGCTCCCCTCTACCCGTTTCCCCCCCCTCCGCCCTCACTCTCCCCCCAAATGTCCTCATACATAGGTGCAAGATTTTTGTCCAGTCTCTTCCCACATCTCCCACACCCCTTTCCCCCCTAAGAATAGTCAGTCCACTCCCTTTCTATGCCCCTGATTCTATTATATTCCCCAGTTTACTCTGTTCATCAGATTTTTTATTCACTTGATTTTTAGATTTACTTGTTGATAGATGTGTATTTGTTGTTCATAGTTTGTATCTTTACCTTTTTCTTCTTCTTCAACTTCTTAAAGGATACCTTTCTCA